ACAAAAACAAAACAACACGCCCGATGCTCTGCTCGACAAAACGATAAAGTAATTTATCTATGCAAAACGATAACTAACCACTATTACCGTTTGCGATCGATTGCCGGTTCGATAAGAGTGATGAAAGATACTTAAATTAACATAGAAGTAATGCTTTTAAAATTAAATAAGTTCTATTGATAAATAAATATAGCATAGTATCGCACACACGCAAATATGCTTATTACATTTAACCTCATCGCATCACCATGTATAGTGAAATAAAAAAGGGGAGAGAGGCAATCTCGCCGTGCCCGGAATTCCTCTCTGCGAGCCTGTCCATAATAGAGAGAAAATGACTACAATATTAGCCAAGAGGTCAAGTATTCGTAAGTAATGAAGGTGCTTGAAACTCTAGATTTCACTTATTACCCGACTTCCACCGAAGAAGGGTTATTTTTCTCACGTGAGGGTATGTGTGTGGACAAAAATTCTATCGAATGAGCTACAGCTCAAACGGTTTGATTGATTTTGACATCCTAGCAGTGCAAATGACACAGGCTATATTAAAATTTTATAAAATCAAGTTAGCTCAGACTGTTTGGTACAAATGACCATAAGCCGAGCATCAGGTTCTTCAGTAGAATGTGTGGCTATATTGGTTATTCTAATCTGCTCTTCTCAGGAATCTTAACAGTAGAAATTAATATACTAGTTTTTCTATGCATCTTTCAGTCTGTTTCAATTATTTTTGTAGCGGTAGGTACATGGCTTGATGAGAAGAATAATTTTTAGTATAAACCACCTCTCATTTAGGTTGTTATGTACCGAAAATATTCCTGAGATATCCCTATAACGAATACTAAATATATCGCAAATATGTAGGAAGTGCTAGATCTTTTGCAAAATCGACGTATTAATTCCTGTATTCACGCGTTAGATACACGCAATACCGTAAACGCTCCCATGATGCACATGTCGAAAGTTCTCAGTAATGTTTTGCAACTTCCTTATGCATTATTCGGTTAATGAAGAAATTTGAATCCGAACAATTCATTGCAAAATCGCCACTTCCTAAGCTTGCCTCTCCAAGCCATTTTCTTATAATAAATAATTTCATTACTTAATTCAAAACTTACCGGCCCTTTATTTCAAACATTCCCTGATTTCAATATCAGAACTACATACAAGTAAGCAACTTACAACAACAAAGGGTTCAAGACTGTCAGTTAGAGAAGAGTCATCGATCAGTCGGACAGCATCTAGAAAAGTACTTCTTAGCCTATCATTTTTCCCAGCAGCTATTGACAAGAAGTATTCTTGCCAGATCCGGTCCTCGGAGATCTGGACACCGACCAGCCGAAATGATCGGCTCTTTGGTAGAACAGGGCGCTTCTTGTTAGTCAAGGTACAGTACTGTGTTTGGAAGCATTAAACTGTACCAGATTGATGCGTCCTCAAGCAGTGGTAACCTCCAGGACTCTCGCCAGAGAGCAAGTTGGTGCTTTTCTCCATCTCACCGGCTTGTCACTCTGAATTCCTGCATGTAGAGTGCTGTCATCAGCAAACCTGTGGATCAGATTGATCGTAATAGTAATAAAGCCTTCGTCCGACTACAGACGGCCAACAGTAGACAGCTGTAAATGGTTTTGTTAAAAATGCATTGAGGCGAAGTTCGCAGTGTATACAGGGTGTTCCAAATTCGACCCTCACCATGGGGATCTCGAAAACGGTAAGAGATATGAAGTCGCTCAAATGGGACAAAGTTGCTTATTTAGGTATCTAACAAAATTCCGCTTAGAAAGTGTCGAAATTCAAAGTAGGAGTGAGATGGAAAAAACAGAATTTTCTTAAAATAGCATTGTTTTTTCCTGACGTGGGATTTCAGAATAAATTGCATATCAACATTGCCACTTTTTCTCCTCAACAAAATGACATAATTATGATTTCAAAATGACGTTTTATCTTTTGTCCTCCAGCATCACCTCTGTTTTTTCTTATAGATTTATGCACAGATAGAGTTTTTAATTTTAATTTCAAAAGTGTATGATATGTCATACATTGACATTGCCACCTTAGTTATTTTAAAAAAAAATTCCTAGGTAGGTCTTGAAATTATCATTTTTTTCGTAAGTTTATCGGAAAATCATAATAAACTGGACACTGAACAATGCATGCACAGAGAAGAATCAGGCTACGCCTACAAAATAACGGACCACATTGTGAATATCTGGCATGATTTACCTCTGCTTATTCATTATTATTGATGTTACTACCATATTACAAGATGGCGTAGTCAAATTTTCAATTCGATGGGTCTTCTTTCGACTTTCTTATATCCAACTTTGTTTTTTCATATGGATGCTATATTGGAGTTTTGTACATTAAATGAGGTTTTTGGACAGAAAATGATAAGGAAATAAAAACGTAAGGTGAAACCTGAACACAAAATGAAAAGTTGATTGGTGGTAATAACAATAATAATCATAAATAAGCAGAGATAATCATTGCAGATATTCACGATGTTATACTAAGTGACATATAAATCCGAACACCCAGTTTAAATGGTTTTATTTTAATAAAATTTTGTATAAGTACTTAATGAAGCATAATAAGTAAATGATAAAAATTTCAAAATGATTGCACTGCTTTAAAGCCCTTTGACCTTTACCAACGCGTCTAGGCATGCTTCTGGTCAGGAGGTCAATGTCCTCCTGAGGTATCTCATTCCAGGCAACCACCAACTCCTCTCGAAGTGCTTCTAGAGTCTGAGGAGGACGTTGCAAATTGAGCAATCTCCTACCCATCATATCCCACACGTGCTCAATTGGGGATAAGTCGGGAGCTCTTGGTGGCCATGGTAACAATGTGACATCATTATGTTGAAAGAAGTCTATTGTGACTCTTGCAACATGTGGTCGGGCATTATCTTGCTGGAAAGTTGGATCTGCCAGGGTGTCAAGATAGGGTAAAAGATCGGGTTCTAGAACTTCGTGGATATAACGCTGCGCGTTCATGTTACCTCTGATGAAGATTAAAGGTGACCTGGAACCATAAGCTATAGCACCCCAAACCATAACTCCAACAGTGTGATGAACATGTCTTTCAACAAATGTGTGCATGCCTAAACAAAATCGAGACTCGTCACTAAAGACAATACTGTTCCATTCCTGATCCCAGAGTGACCGTTGTCTGCACCACTCAAGGCGATTACGTCGGTGTTCTCGAGTTAAAGGGAGAACCCAGTGTGGCCGGTATGAAAACAAGCCAAAACTTCTCATTCGTCGGTAAACACTTCGCATGCCAATAGGTCTTCCGTGTTCTGCAAACCATTCATTTGCAATGGACCTGGTAGTGGAGAAACGGTCCCTTAAGGCCAATAATCTTAGGCGGCGATCTTCACGGTCTGTTGTTCTACGGCGGCGTCCAGTGCCCCTTGCTCTTTGCGTACGGCCTTCTCGAAGCCATGCCTGACAACACCTAACCACAGTGTCTACACTTCTTTGCACTCTAACTGCAATTGCCCGAAAAGAAAGTCCAGCTTCCCGAAGTCCCACTATACGCCCCTATCAAACTCACTAAGTTGACGAAATCGTAACCGATCGTAAAGGATGTCAAGAACCAAAATCCGCCAACGTTGATTCTTTACTGCGGCTGAAATATTCTTTTATAGAGCGTTAGTGAATTAAAAAAAAGCAGTATAAAAACCGGAATGTCCAACTGATAAGGCTGAAAATTTTTTCACTTGTTATTTACAGTAAGATAAATACATTCACCAACTTTTATTAAAATAAAACCATTTAAACTGGGTGTTCGGATTTATATGTCACTTAGTATATTTTGTAGGTAAAGCCTGACTCTTCTCTGTGCATTGTTCAGCGCTCAGTTTGTTCGATTTTGCAATGAATCTGGTATACGAAACAAATGATTATCCAATAATTTCAAGGCTTACCTAGGAAAATCTGTATTTTTAAAATAACTAAGGTTTGGCAATGTCAAAGTATGAAATTTTATACATTTTTTTAATCGGAATTAAAAACTTTGTGCAAGTATCCAATATGGGGTCTATAAGAAAACGTAAAGTTAATGCAGGAGGACAAGAGATGAAACGTCATATTGAAATTCTAATCATGCCATTTGGTAGAGGAGAAACAGTGGCAGTGTTAATGTGCAATTTGTACCGAAATCACACTTCAAATACAGTCTGCAAAAAATCAACACGATTTTGGAAAAATTCGGTTTTTTATCTCTCTCCGGAGGGGCTTTGAATTTCGAAACTTTCTAAGTGGCGTTTTGAGCGATTTAAGCGACTTCTTCTCTTACCATTTCCGAGATACTAATGGTGAAGGTGTAGTTTGAATCACCCGATACAGGTTGGTTAGAAAAAAAATGCAAAATCGTGTAATTTCTCCTAAAAACTATTTTGCTAGGACACATACACAATTTCCGAATAACCTCCGTTTTTATATACATAGATCCTGTAAGCTGTCTTCTAGCTGACTGGTTTCAAGGACTAAGCGGAAGACTACAGGATTTAGTTTGGTATCAAAAGAGAATCGTCAGTTTGACATTCAAACTATTCCTAACCCCAAATACCCTGCGACAACAGCGACTTATTTATTTCAGCAGGAATGCTCTGAATTAGATCCAAAATCTAATGCCCGTCGCTACTTGGTGGTGATTTCAAAATTTTGTTCAATTATCGATGTAGACATGATTCTCCAATAGATTATGTTTCATTATATTCTATTATATTATTATTGTAACCTCCTAATTTGAGTCTCCGCTTGCACAGGACCAATGTTTAGACATATCCATTCTTTTTTCTTAAGGTGATTCGGAATTCTCATTTTTGACCTATACTCGGGGGTACCGAAAAGGAACGGAAGGGACTTTGTCTCTACAGAGGGACGCCGCGTCTGTAGTAGCGTGCGATGCGTTTTGCTGCTCTCTTCCTTTTCGGTACCAGGGTATCGGATTTGTAGAATTGCAATTTACCAATTAACTATATTTTGTTCCAGGAGGCGAGGCGTGAACTGGTTAAAAATGAACGGGCACGCGAACGGGGGTGAACTGAACGGCTGCGGTGACATAATCACGCAGAACCAACAGAAGGGTTGTTGGACGATCGGTCTCATTAACTCCAAGTTTCGGTACCTTACGGCTGAGACATTCGGCTTCAAGATCAACGCCAACGGTAGCTCACTCAAGAAAAAACAGATCTGGACATTGGAACCGGACAACAGTAACGTAGGAGACAGTGAGTACCAACTTTTCACTTTCCACAGATGTCGATACTTCAACAACTATATAAATACTTACATTTTCACTTCCTTTTCTCCCTCTCTATTAGTAGACTTACCCTGGTTTCTTGGTAACCTGGCAAATTTTTTTGCAATGAAATTCGACGACTATAATGCTCTATTTCTGAAGAATCCCCAACTTGCGTATAAGGTCGGTAGGACATATATATATATATATATATATATATATATATATATATAAAGAGAAAATTATCATGCGGAGAAAGGTATATAACCAAAATAGATACGTAGCGATACGTATTTCTGCTGATTGGCTTCATCAGGCCCAAAATGAATGCACATATGCAACCACAAAAGTAGAGACACATGCCCATACATCCGGATACGGGTGTAACCTGAGGAAACAAAGATGGAGAGGAAAAAAAGACACACGAAGTCCACAACAAGAGCCAACCTACACATTGTAGTATAAAATGGCTAGAAGACCTCGAATTTTCAAGGTGACAAATAACCACAACCACGCGGCCGGTAATAGCCACTTGCTGTGGTACTTCAAGCCAAAAGGATCTACAAAGAGAAAATTATCATGCGGAGAAAGGTATATAACAAAAATAGGAAAATAATGGACAAAATCCGCAAAAAGTGGATTCGAGCAGAAAATAGGATAGGTAACCCGAGCGATACGTATTTCTGCTGGTTGGCTTCATCAGGCCGGAAATGAATGCACATATGCAACTACAAAAGTAGAGACACATGCCCATACATCCGGATACGGGTGTAACCTGAGGAAACAAAGATGGAGAGGAAAAAAAAGACACACGAAGTCCACAACAAGAGCCATCCTAGTTATATATATATATATATATAGTATATATATATATAACTTGAGACGTGGTCATTGTCGTCTAGACCAGTTAAGTGAAAAATAAAGCTTCCGCCTTTGGTTGGGTACTTCGACAAAATTCAAGCAATGAGGACTCTTTATACTTTATTAGTCTCTAGCTTTCAATGGACTTTGTCATCTTCATCAGGAGCTGCAATAACATTGAGAAGAAATAGCAGCTATTGCGCAAAATGATTTTAAATTAACTTACAATAATATGTGAGATTGTTGCTAAATGTTATTAACGGTTAGATTGAGGGAAACATTCAGTAACCTGGTGAAAGCTGGATACATGGTCCATTCGTTAAAATTAGTGCAAAATACACACAGCTGTATGTCAAGAATACATCAAAACGTATTAAAAATATTTAGAACGAAAGTTAAAATTACATCGTTTGTGCAGCATCAGGTGGCATGATGCATTACGTCCCCTATTAAAAATATTCCCTTTTTAGAACTACGTAATTTCTTCGACATGTAGACTGAACGAAAACAGTACGTCTACTAATAGAACAAACGAGCACTGCAATACGTTACCTAGCGCGCGCGCCTGATATGACATGTTCCAACGCAACTCGACACTGGATGCCCTGGTTCTAAGTACATAAAACTTTATATACGATTGTTTTGACATTGTGTTATGCTACTCTGTTCCGTTTTGGTACCCGAGTATAGTTAGTGTTATTTGGCCCTGACTTGGAAATACGCAGAGACACCAAATTAACTTAGCTAACACTTTTTTTATTGTTCCAGGTTTAATCTACATCCGTTCCCATCTAGAGAAATACCTCGCCGTTGACTCCTTCGGCAATGTTACTTGCGAAAGTGAAGAAAAGGACCCCGGATGCAAGTTCCAAATCAGTGTCGCAGAGGACGGTACGGGCAGATGGGCGTTGCGAAACGTAGTACGTGGGTACTTCCTGGGTGCATCTTCCGACAAGCTCATATGCACCGCTAAAGTACCAGGTGACGCGGAGCTGTGGTACGTCCATCTGGCTGCTAGGCCGCAGGTAAGATGTTTGTATGACAGATGCTTGATAGAATAGATGAAATTCATGAGTTTAATAAACGATACATCATTTCTTTGTAGTAGCTTGGGGATTAAGTATGACGTTACGCTGATCACCTGGCCTTACATAGACATAAAATTCGAAGTATCTAAATGTATTTTAACATAAAAGTGACAGACGAAAATTTCAAGATAGTGACTGAGCGCCATCTCAGAACTACCTTTAAGTATAAATTCACTGTTTTTCAAAATATGAGACTGACAGGCTATCAAATTTGAGCCTATTTGTATATTGAATCGCTTATCACTAGACAACCAATCATTAATCTATTTATATGTATATTAGCATGGGGAGCTGCATGTTCCTCACATATCTATAATTTAGATGTTTTTCAAAAAAGTATTCTAAAAATGATATTTAAAAAACCGAAACTTTATCCCACTGAAAAATTATATGCAGATGTTCGAATGTATGATATAAGACAGCTTCATTTCTTACACAGTATCACTCACTACCATAAATTTGTAAACACCGACCAAAAAATTAAACATAATCATTATACCAGGTACAAAATTCGTGGCACAGTAGTTCCTCAACCGCATAAATCTATAATGCAGCGATCATATCTCTATTTAGCGCCTAAATTTTATGAAATTATACCTAAAGACTTAAAAGATTTACGTTTCGGAAATTGTTTCAAAAGAAATTTAAAAAAGTGGCTACATTCTATATCTAGGACTGAAATTCATCAACTCATAAATGCGAACATCAACTAAATACATAATCTACTGTAGCTAATTTTTGTCCTTTTTTGTGATTTGCATTCTACAGTTTCAACTTAAATTATTGGTCCATGTACAGGCGATGCCTTCTATTGGGCCTGTTTTGATTTTATATTTATTTACTCATATTGTTTGTTATCTTTTTACATTGAGTAAATAAATATTATTATTATTATTATTATTATTATTATTATTATTATTATTATTATTATTATTTGAATGAAATATAAAACATGTCCAAAAAATCTTCATATTTTGACAAATAAAATGTATTTTATTACATATTCGGAGAGAGCCTTCCAAGAGAGAAAAATCGCTATAACATACTATACAGGGTGTTATTTAAGTATGTGGCCAAACTTCAGGAGGTTATTCTCTGAGTAATTTTAGATGAAAAGTTCATATAAACAAACTTTTTTTAAAAATCGGTTTATCCTAAATATCTTGATAAACTTTCAGTCGATTTTGTTTAAATTTAGCAGTAGTATTAAAGGCAGTAAGGGGCTAATTTAGCTCCGATTATATTGAAATTATCAAGTCCAGTGGCGTCCCGGAACACACCATAACAAATATCTTTGACAAAAAAATTGTGCGTCACTGACTTTTTCAATTTCGCTATTTTTATTTTCAAATTAAGCAGCTAAAAATACAACTTTCTTGTCTCGTGAGTGTGTTTCATATCTCGGTTCGTTTGTGAGATATAAAATAAAAAGAACTTTATTGCATGTCTCTGGGACAATAACATAATAAAATATTAAAACGACCAAACTAATTAAGCAATTAACATTAGACGAAAGTGTCATCTCTTGAATTGTTTCGCACATAAAACTAATTTCGATAAAACAAAATAACATAATAATCGCATAACGTAATAATTTATAACAGCAATATTTTAAAAGTAACATAAAATAAGAGGGCCATGAATGGAAAAACAATTGCTACTCGGACAGATCTGACTTTGATATAACTTGATGATCGTAATTGTTTGAGGTGTTTTTAAGAGTCAGGGTGGATTTCACCAAGGCTGTCAAATTAACAGTCCGTTATTCTCCACCTATAGGGTAACAGTCCGTCAAATACAGCGAATGAGCTTCAACATCCGATCAACAAATTTCAGCAACCAATACCTATGAAATGTTGAAAACAAAATATTGCCAAGTATGAGATGACAGCTTGTCCTTGAAACATCACCGGCTTATTGAATATTAAGAAGTTACATATAATTCAGTCAAAATTTAAGGAAATGTTTGATTATTGAATAAAATTGTTTTAATTACTATTGTTGATTTTTAATTCATGTTTATATTATGTTCTTCAACTGATATGCGATTTTACTGATCACCTCCCGTGTTTTTTCCTATAAACTTCTTGCAGATAGCCATTAAACACCTACTTGATGACAGACCAAAAAATTCATAGATTTTGCTCGTTTTCAAACATTCATTCATTTATTTGCCGTTCCTCAGAACCATTATGGCACCTTAGATTGATATTCCCACAAAACCATTCAGTTGTTTTGATATCCACACATCCATAAAGTTGAATACTTTTCCTTGTTCAGCAACTGAACAAACATCCATACTATATTTACAGCGATTAAGAAATATATGTCGTAAAGCTACCGGCAAACTTAAAACCTGCAAAAAATAAAATTTGCAACAACTTTCTTGTTTCACTGAGTACACATTCTAGGTTATATTTATACTAGACATTATTTAAATAACAGCTGATTATCTCTGCATATTTTAAAACTAACCATATCTACAAGTGATACGTAATTCTGTGGGGTCTGTCAACCCTTGGTCCCAGTCACAAAACATATATACTGAAGGTTCAATTCCATGCTATTGAATGATAATACGGTAACTCGTGAGGTTGTCAGCGGCATTTTTTGGGGGTGCGACATGGTTGCCAGATTGAGCATTAATATCCCGTTTCACCACCCTGGTCCCAGAGGAGTACGCTCCGCCAACTGTTGAAATATACTTTACTATGCTTTATAACACTATTCGTGGAATTTTCCCAAAATCGTTGCACAATACTTGAAAAAATGCAAGTGAAAATTTAAAATTATTTCCATGACGCCCCAAAATAGCTGCGTCGGTTTCCGGGTTATACATCTTGACACTAGGGATGTTCGATACGATCCTAAATTTAGAAGTATCGATACTTTTGCTTCCCATACCCGATATTTTTGGTCGATATTTTTATATACCACACTTGGGTGTATCGATACATTTCACGAGTATCGTCATCTTTCGATCCGGACTGTGTCAGAAAGAGTGACTAACTTCAGATTACTTTTCTTCTTTGATTCCTTCCGCTGGATATCGATAACTTTATTCCAATATTTTAGAGTATCGATACTTCCTAAAACGATAAGAATCAATACATAACGATACTTTTCGTTGATCTAAACATCCCTAGTCTTGACAACTTGTCGTTGTTGTCAACTGGGCGGTAGGGTGCGGTGCCTTTAATATCTTACATTTTGCTAAAATCTTATGACAAATAAAAGATTCAAATGAAATATTGACGATTGTGAACGGATATGCATAGAATTTAGAATATAAATTCATATTGCAAATTTCAGATTGTCTATGCATCGACTGGATTTTTCGGTATTTTTACCGAAAAGAGAATATTTACCGAAAACATCATTCTCCACGATTTTTTAAAATAATTTGAATATTTCTATACTTGCCAAAAGAGAGCTGAAACCAAAAATAAAGCTAAAAGTTAATTTTGTGGAATATTCATAGTTTTATGCCCGATATCAATCATACATTTGGGTTGCCTATGGTTACGAACGCACATCCTCATCCCTTACTCCGCTTGCCCTGAATTGATTTTTGTGCATACAAAAGGTACAGACTGGTATAACGTGTGGAATTTGAAGATGGTCTACCACCTGGAGGAAAGGTTGTTATGGGCGAAAAGTCAGCTTATGTCACATCTGACATTTTTTTTCCGATGGTTTTTTGTTCCGCGGAAAGGTGCCCGTAAGGTTCTATTAATTATGGATGGAAATTCTTCGCACTGTTCTAATGTCGAAGTGTTGGATTTTGCTGTAGCGAATAACGTCATCCTGTTTTGTTTGCCCAGCCACACCACACATTGGCTTCAACCGCTTGATCGCTCATTCTTCAAAGCCTTAAAATTCTATTGGGCTCGAACTTGTCAAAACTGGGTTCATATCAATCCTGGTCGAAAACTGAACCGATTGCAGTTCGCCCAACTTTTAAATATTGCCTGGTGTAAGGCTGCAACAATTCAAAATGGGACTTCCGGTTTCAGAACGGTACCCTTCTAATCCCGAAAAAATTCCCGATTATGCTTTTACCATTAACGACGAACCATCAGCTGAAGACAAACACAACCCACAAGACATTCTCAGTGAGGAGTAAAACGACCACAGACCAGGTAGTGTCATCGCAGTCAGCAACCCCGAAAATAGAAACTCATTTGAAGCAATTTCACCGGTTCCATGCGTGGAATCAGGACCAAGTGGCTATAGACGAAAACAACATGCCGAAATACTAACTTCGCCAGAAACAATTTGCGCAAAATGAGCAAAGGAAGAAGTAAAAAGAACAAAATTAAAACAAAAAGAAGAACGGAAAAAACGCAAAGTATTGTTGAGCATTAGAAAACGGTAGTTCCAAAAAAGAAAACTAAAAAATCACGAAGCCCGAATTCGTCAGACACCGAAACCGAGGTAGTAACCCAAGAAAGCTACGATTCAGAAATCGATACTGATGAGTAAGAATTTTGTGCAGCATGTCATGGGTGTTTTTACTATAAAAAAGGTCCTAAATGCGACTGGCTCCAATGCGTAACATGTTTGAAATGGGTCCATGAAATATGTACGCAAACTGACAGATTTTGCGAAGAGTATACACTGTTATCCGAAATAGCTACCAAGACAAAATCAAATTAAAGGATATTATTTACCAGTATACCTAAGTATATTAGCAGTTACATTATTAGCATTATCTGTCTTGTTTTTTACTTTTTGAGTGTTTTCATTGGAAATGAAAGTGTTTTTTTACAATTATCAGCATTTTCTATAAAAAGTCGAATTGCCATATTACCCATAGGTGCAGGTAATATGGCAATAGTGAGTCATTGGACATTTTTGATTATAGTATTTTTGTCGATGGGAACGAGAGTTTTCACACCGCAAACCTGCATGTGTAAGCTCTAAGGTTCAATAAT